TCAGCAGGAGGGTTGGACTGGATGACCCACAGAGGTCCCTTCCAACCCCTACTATTCTGTGATTCTGTGATTCTGGGAAGGGGCTGCTGAGAGGACTCTGTCAGCAGTGTCTCCACAGAAAAGAAGCACCAGAATTTCATTTTGTGAGTGGGAAGCTGGGTCAGCACCTGAAATGGCACACCTGCTTTGCTGAATAATCAGTACAGGTGAGACTACACACTAGCAATTACTTTCAGCTTAAGAGATATTAAATGGAGATCCTTGATAAACAAGCAAATCTCACAGAACTCCTTTCTCTCCTTGCAATAATCCTCTATAATTACGGATAAATGCCAGATTTGCTAGAACACTAGGCATTAAAATATTCTCCATTGCACAAATGGATAGAGGCTCAAATCTCACTTAGGAGAAGAAAACAGTCAGTGTACTTACAGTATCATTAGCAATGCAGAATCATTTGCATCTGGTTGTCAGCTGCATGTACAGCTCAATGCTGGAACAAGCAGCTTTTAAACTCTTCAACCAAGGCTTGTCCAAATTTTGACACAGGGTGATGGCCAGCACAAGGGAACCCTAAACCTCACAGAAACCTTCGGGAGCGGCTACACAGAAACATTCAGCACAACTGAGAAATAATATCAGGACATCCGTTCACAACAAGAGGCGTTTTGTCAAAATGTTTAGTTAAAAGCCTCAGAGAACTCTACCCAAAATGGTGCTAGAGTTTGGAAACGTACCACAGAAAGAGGGTGAGGTGGAAACTGGAAAGCTCTTTGAAGTACTGCAGTATCCTAGGACTAGGGGACGCGGATTAAAAAATGATTCATAAAGGGCTTTTGCTCAGACACTGGGAACTTTGCGGAACACCCTGGAGGAGCGGTGGGTCCGGCAAAGTTAATCACACTGAGAAAGAGCCTACGCGAGTGCAGGGCTGCTTAGCCAAATAATCACTCGGCTGGGCTAATTCATGGGTTGATTGTTCCTGTGCACAGGGCTAATCTCAGCTCTATCAGTTATTTACTTAATGTACAGTCTGGATACTTTCATCGTGGCTCGGTTGGTTCTCAAGGTTTTTTGTTGGCACAGTGAAGAGGAATCTCCTCCTCTCTGCACGTTCTGTTGGGTGAGAGCCTGTGCGGTCTTTTTCACAGGGACTCGCGCAGGATCTAGGCAACGGTCAAGCCAATCCATTACGTGGTCACCAAGTGGTCCCTACGAGGAGAGGTTGAGGGAACTGGGCTTGTTCAGCCTGAAGAAGAGAAGGCTGCGAGGGGACCTTATAAATGCCTACAAATATCTGAAGGGTGGGTGTCAGGAGGATGGGGAC